ATTAGGTTTGTTTTTCCCCATGCTATCATTACATATTTGCTACATTTTCCTTATATATTTGTCAATTCCTTGTCAGGGTACCTTTAGTTGCCCAGGCTGTGGCACAACCTGGGGACATCCAGCATGTGGAGAGATTTCCCATGATTCCCCTCCCCTCCTCAGCAGTTTTGATGCTTGTCAATGTAGCTCCACACCCCTTTATGATGCAGCATGCACAACAATGATGTCACGGCCAGACAAAATATTAAAATACAAAAGTTTTTCCAGGAGTGGCTATAAAAGTGAAGAGCCAAAGTATAAAAAGGTTTTTAGGGCATAGCTAATTGTTCTGAGTTTCTTACTTTGAACCTGTCAGGGCTTACCTTAGTTGAGAGTCCAGTACACAGATGTGTGCTCACCCTTGCAGATATACACAGTCCAAGGTGATAAGGTTAGAAACCACCAGGACTGTGAATCTGGGCACAGGGGCTGTGCATGAAAGGTGTTCCAATTCACAGTACAGACAAGGGCAAATCCAGAAGAGTAGTCAGACACGGTTCCAAAAGTCAGGGTAGGCAGCAAACAGGCAATAATAATGATCCAGAAGCAGTGGTCACAAGTCAATCTATAAGCAACATGAAACAACAAATTGACAAAGTTCCCAGCGCGAGATAATGCTTATATACCCCGCTAATAATGATCTGCTTCAGGTGGGCTTAGATAGACATGAGCAGACACAGTAAAAGTCCTGCCCCCAGTGCTGGAGACAAGGTGAGGATAAACATATGCAGAACTTAATAGCACATTATATTTCTGGTTCTGATCTTTGCTTTATCTGGCAAGTCTACATTCTATAATGTTATTTGCTATCCCTAACTCCCAGACTATTCTCTGTCATTGTATACTTTAAGCACAACTTAAGATCCAGTATACATTTATCCTTGCTATATTATTATACTCTGTGTGTTAGGCTACTCTGTATTCCTGACATTTCCTGCCTTTAACCATGCTCATTTCCATGTCCTATTGCTATTTTTATTTTAAACCCTTAGAAGGCATGCTTAGTTTCTGCTTAACTCTGGTTTCCAGTAAATATTATTTTGCAAACTCTTCTTACATCATCAAAATAACATGAATATTTATTTGGGACACTTTTATTTATTAAGTTGGAGACATATTAAATTCTACAAACACTTACTGGCAGTGTGATTTTATTGCAGCTGGAGATGGCTAAACCATGGTTCAAAGGATTTGTAGAAACATGTCGTTTTTTGGTTAATCAAGACGTGTTTTTCAAACCTGTTGATTTGCTTTGTTTTTTTACTACACCACTAGGGACTGGCTTTGGACTTTTCCTCTTCTTGGATCTCCCTGTTGTTAAATGACGGCACCCTTGCCTGTTTAATTAAGGCTGCTGAAATAGCAAATTTGTTTTTAGTTTACCATCAAACATGATGGCTAGATCTTTCATGAATTGTTTTGCTAATATTTATGGATTTTCCTACAAAATTACTAATTGAATATGAATTGAAAGGATCTCATTCATCTCTAATTGTAATTACTAAGCTAAGTATTTTAGGTATGTATGCTTTGAATGTTTTACTCAATGGTCTAGTAAATGGCAATACTCACATTTACCTCAGGTGAATGGGAGCCTAAATACAGAAAATAGTCAACCACCATATATTTTAGCTCTAGTTTGGATATGTAGATTTTTCAATCACTTTTTTTTTTAATTCTTCATTTTTCTCAGATCATATATTAAGAAAACATAAAAGAGCATGTAACATGATCTGGAGCAATACAGTAATATATGCTCAACAACATGAGAGTAAAATAGCAAAAGAAAAGAAAAGGCTGGAGTTAACCGTCCCCATGGTGCATATTTCCTTCCCAGTAAAAACTTTAAGTTATATGGGGGGGGGAGAGGGGAGGTGAGGATTCACCAATCATATTAAAACCACATGCTTGTCAACCTGTACAAATATTATATGCTTGGCTATACAAGGCCAGGTGTGAGCTTGGTCCAAAACATATGAAAGTTGTTTTTTTCCACTCCGACACTAATGAAACATGCACTCTTTATTATAACTAATATACATAAAAGATAGAAGTCATTATTTTGAGATAGGTTTCGCTTTACTAACATTAACTATTGATACATTTGGCATTGATACATTTAATGATGCTATCAGAACCATCTTGTTTTATCAGTCACAGTTTATTGAGAACATTTACGTAGAAAAACATCAAAACAACAAAAACACACCAGTGGTTTAACAACAATCTAATTTGACAAAATCTAATTTGACAAGTAAGAGGCAAATGACATGTTGAAATGTTTCTCCAGTGTGGAAAAATAAGAGTGTATTTAGCAAAATACTTCAAGAGGCTCTCAATAAGGAAAAACTATCTACAAGAAAAATATACAGTAATACACAGTAACATATATTAAGTCTATGACAAAAGTTAACTACACATGTTTGCAAGATTCAGAACCAAAGGGCACATTAATGAATATGTGTGAAGAATGTGGGTGAAATAGTGGAATGGTAAGAATGTTAAGAATGTTGGAGAGAAATGGGGAAATATCAAAGTGGAAGGGTGTACTAGGGAAACAAAAAGGATAGAATGGGTGGGAAGATATATGTCCCTACCCAGCCTGTCCAGAATGCACAAATAGGTTGCTCTCACAGTTTACAAGTAAGAGCTAAAGCCATTTGATCTTGAGAAAGGTCCCAGAGAGGACTGAAACGTTGATCTGTTGATTTGTTCTGTGGAATAAAGGAAACTCTATAACGGAAGACCGTGAGTGCAGCCCATATGTTCATTTGATTTATATATATACATATATATATATATATATATATATATATATTTATGTGCAATTGGGGGTCCCAGAGTCTCCATGTTTGTTTCACCTTCAGCATAACCTCTCTTCTCGCGACCCACAAGAGCATTTGCTTTGGCAATGCTCTCGCAGGTCGCGAGAACAGAGGTCCTGCTGTAGGTGGAACGAATGTGGAGATTTCAGCCCCCCTCTTCATAGGAGAACCATGCTGTGCCACGGAACCACCAGGGAATCCAGTGTCCTCCCCTTCCTCACTACATATAAAAGAAAAGGAGCTGGGAACATCCCATACAAACTACTCACCCCTACCCCCCACACTACATACACAAACACACACACTGCATACACTACACAAACACACACACTACAAGCACAATCATACACACTATATACACTACACAAACACTGTGCATACACAAACAAACACTATATACTACACAAACACACACGCTGCATACACAAACACATACTACATACACTGCACAAACACAGTACATACACTGCACAGACTAGATACACAAACACAATGCATACACCACACAAACACTACATACACTACACAAACACGTCCAATAAATACACAAACACACACTACATACACTACACAAACACACACACTTCCTACACAAACACAAACTACATACTCTGCACAAACACAAATACTGCATAAACACACACTACATACACAAACATGCTGCATACACTACACAAACACACACATACACTACACAAACACACACTACATACGCTACACAAGCACACACACACTGCATACAATATACACATACAGCAACCACTATGTGAGTCTGTATATGTGTATCTGTATGGATGTTTATGTCTGTATCTGTGTGTCTGTATCTGTGTATCTGTATGTGTGTCTGTGCGTTTGCATGTGTGTCTGTGTATTTGCTTGTGTGTCAGTGTTTGTATCTGTGTGTCTGTGTATCTGTATATGTGTTTGTATCTGTGTGTATGTATCTGCATGTGTTTACTTGTGTGTGTCTCTGTATCTGTATGCATGTCTGCGTATCTGTAGATATGTGTCTGTATGTGTGTCAGTGTTTGCGTGTTTGTATCTGAATGTGTGTTTGTATCTGTGAGTCAGTGTTTGTGTCTGTGTAGCTGCATGTGTCAGAGTCTGTATCTGTGTATGACTGTGTTGATGTATCTGCAAAATTGTAACTATTTGTCTGTGTATCTGTATGTGTGTCCGTGTGTGTAGCTGTGCGTCTCTGTATCTGCGTGTGTGTGAGTGTATCTGTCTGTTAGTGTGCATTTGTGTGTCTATGTATCTGCATTTGTGTATATGTAAGTGTATGTGTATATGTGCATACATCTCAGCATTTTGCCAACACTACACACAAATGCACCCCTGCATTCAAATGTCAACACTACAAACAAACACTCCACCATATTAAAAAAAAACTACACACAAATGCATGCCTGCATTCAAATGCCAACAGTACATACAAACACATCATTAGAGTCACTCACATACACTCCATACAAAACATGTTTACATAGAAACACACAAACACTGCACAGTGTTAAATACATTAAAAAATACACAAAAACACAAACACTGCTGTTAAAATTCACATCAACTCCATGCAGAGAGTGGAGACACTGAAAATTTTCTCTAAAAAGGCAAAATAGTCATTGAAAAGCATGCAGGGACAGGGTATAGACACCAGAACTACTACACTTCTGCAGTCTATAGTGTCCCTTTAAGAAAAAAGGATTCAGACTTTGACAACAGGAAAGAAAATATGGTTACGTTAAAGGTAATCTGTAAAAGACCTAAGAGGGTTTTCCAGTCACTATATTTAAGAGCGTGACAATATATGGTTAATTAAAGCATTGATATGCAATATTTTTTTTTACGTGTTTATAATTATAGTGTATTTTATTATTATATTTCCTTTACTGCTCCTCCAGCCAGCCTGTCATTGTATTTTTGTTTTCAGGCAGGCTGAATTGGATACTACTGTGTTTCAAAGGAAAACTAAACTGCCTATGGCAATGGAGATAGCATTTATTTTAAAATGTGTCTAATATTAAGGCATTAACTATGTGTAATAGATATATAGATGGTAAAATTAACTATTGGATGTCTCTGTAAGTATATCATGCAGTATTACTAAATACTTCTGCAATGCAAGAGTACTTATGAACATTGATTATGCGTGTCACTCAATGATATTGGGGTCAATTGCAATTTGTGTCATTTGAGTGTTTTGCCACCCTTCTAGTCTTTGATAAATGATCCTCATGGTCTACAGAACAATTCATTATTTAGGAATCCTGGTGAGCAATGTAGCATCAGTTTCTTTAACTCACAAATTGCAGACAACAGTAATTCATATTTTCCTGCATTGCTAAAGCAGCCTGTAACATATTTTTTAATAAATTACTTTTTATGCTACAACTCAAGCATTAAACTGCCATATTTATGATTAATGAAATTACATTTTAGCAAGAAAGCAATGGATAATGGAAAATGAATGGCATTTACATCTTTTGAAGTTGTTCCTTTTTAGTAACTTTGTAAAATAGAGATAAATAATATTAATAATAAAGCATTAATAAAAAGGTTGATATAGTTCATCAGAATGTATTTTTACCAGTATGTAAAGTCTCTATCATGTATCAACATGCAAAGGTACATATCCCTTTTAGTGTATAGACATGGGTATTGCTACATTTATATTTTTATAATTAATGAAAATTACATTACATTTTTGTTGAAAAGAAATAGCACAGAATGATATCAAAGAAATGCATTTTCGGCTTTTGACACTGAGCTCTGTTCATTATTTTGTAAATGAAAGAGAAAAATTATTTTAAAAAATGATTAATGAGAATGTTGATGCAACTCAATGTATTTGCCACTATTTTTATTTAAAAAAGAAAATACATTACGTTTTTATATGGATATGAGCTCGTAACAAACTGAAGAATTTGCTCTCAATTGTTGCCCTACTATTTACATGTACACATTATTTTACATTAAATTGTAACATATATGTAATCTTATGTCAATCGAATTAGTTTTTTTAAGTAAATCAGAATACATGTTATAATTGCAATGCTATATCATGTTTAACAAATCAACAGTTGTCATATTGATCTGCGATAGACAAAAATATAGTAACCTTAAACTTGTCCCCCCAAAAAAGTATCATTGTCAATATGTCAGTTACATAGTTACATAGGCTGAAAAGAGACATTTGACAATTAAGTTCAGCATTCCTTACCTCAGTTTCTTTGCAATTTTTCCAGTGAATCCAAAAGAAGGCAAACAGAAAAAAAGTTTGACGCACTTCCAATTTTGCAACAAACTAGGGAAAAAAATCCTTCTTGACCTCAGAATGGCAGTCAGATTTATCCTTGGATCCAGGAGCTATTACCCTATAGTTGAAAAATTATATAATTGGATATTATGTTTTCTAGTTGCTATTTAAATATCTGTGCAGACTCTGATAAAACCACTTCTTCAGGCTGAGAATTCCACATCTTTATTGTACAGTAAAAAAACCTTTGCCTTATACTAAATCTTCTTTCTTCCAGTCTAAACGCATGACCTCGTGTCCTATGTATAGTCCTGTTTGTGAATAGATTTCCACACAATGGTTTGTATTTGCCCCAGATATATTTGTATAATGTTATCATATCCCCTCTGAGGCAATGTTTTTCTAAATTAAAGAGGTTTAAATTTGTTAACCTTTCTTCATAGCTAAACTGTTCCATTCCTTTAGTGGCTTGAAATGCTAAAAAAAATATCAAATGTTAGTTTGATAATCAGATTCTAAAATGAAATCAATATTGCACGCATTAGACTTTATTCCATATACTTTTACAAACACTGGAATAAAGTGAATAAACTGTATACAAATTGTATTTAGTAATACTTTACATTTGTATTAGATTTTTTTTCATTGTATCAGTTTTACAATACCATTCATGAAATTAGTGATACAGGATATATCAATTATTACATTTTGACTTCTAGAGACACAAGATATTAATCCTGTTTCTATCTAACCCTTATTAAAATGACTCATGTGGGGGTGCTGTCAGAGTAGTTGCAACACTTTAGTTTAGAGGTTAATATGTACTGCCTGGAGGGAGCATGGCTTGGCAAGATGTTTGCCTGAAGACAGAGCTCTGCACCACACTGTTGTATCAAGAGTATCATAACTCCCATTGATGTTGTCAATGGGACGAAACAAGCACCAAGAACCCCCACAGACTCCGAGAGGCAATATAGCGGGGGTCACAAATTGGCCAGTTGGACGAATATGTACTCACTCCAACAGAGTCTTCACACGAGTCTCCCATGTCTAAAATGGTGCTTTCCTCACCTGCATCCACGTGCTCTGGATCAGAGCACACTAAACTGGCTTACATCAGAGCTGATCTAAAATGTATGTTTACATCTATGGTCACCAAAGAGAAACCATAACTGTCCAACACCCTGCATGATTCTGAGGTGGTTACACTGAATGCAGATGTTGCAGCCCAAGAGACCCAAATACAAACCCCGGTGTAAGGCACACAAACTACTGTGGACCAAGCTTATGCAGCTAACCTAGCTATAAAATGGCAAGGTGCTATGCTGAAACAAACAAAAAAACAGACCCCTTGGATTAGGAGACTGTGTGTGTGTCTTCTGGAAATCCAAACAGGGGGTAACCCTAACTAAACACAAAGTAAAAAGAGTACGATCAAGGGTTCCTAAGGAAAGTCCCAAGATCATGGGGAGGATATCTCAGAGTCTTAGTCCCAGTTAATCTAAAATGTACTTTATTAATTACGAAAAATACACTAAAATGAAAAACAAATAGGTGCTGATCACTCTAAAGAAAAAAGAAAAAAACGTGGATTTCCTAGAGGGGAACTAAACAGCTCAAAAATTGCCTTCTCAATGTATTGGAGGAAACAGTGAGCGTAATGGAACCTTTAAGGGGGATAAACAAGCTTGTAACCAGTCCTATCTACATATAGGATACAGTATCCACAAAAGAACAGTTACAAATTGGCCACCTCAAGTTCACAGCTAACTGAGGCTACAAAATAACTGCAGAGTCTGTGATATAATTCATTAAGAGTCAAGCCTATAGGGCTGAATACGTTGAAGGAAAGGTGGACTCTAATAATGTCCTGGGATAGCACTCCCTAACTACTTATCAACTTCCTCATCCACTAGTGATCTAAAGATATATTGTCTCAACAAATTATCCAAGAGTATGGTGAACTGGCATGTTCCCTCACTGAGTTTGATAATAACTGACTTGTTCTAGAGAAATGCAGAGAGGTAAAGTAGGATAACCCCCTGCTATACCTCCATAGAGGAAATTTTCACCCTTCTCAGCCACTCACAATTATAGGATATCCCATCAGTGGGCTCTACTAGCAGTCATTATTTTCACCATAAATACCCAATGCAGCTGGCAAATAAACACCCAAAAGACAAGAAAACATGCTAAACCTAGAGGTGCAATTTGCAAAATAAAGAAACTATAACGCCTAATGCGTTTTGGCGCTGATAAAGGCGTTTATGTTCTCTCCTCTCCTTCCTTAAACAAAGGAAGTATAATGAGTTTTTGAGAGGCCATAAAGATTTTAAGACAGGTAATGTCTATAAAAAATTCCATAGAAAACGAAGAGTAGACAGAGATCAGGTCTCCACATCAAAATATGAAACTAGTGGCTCTGAGACAGAATTACAGTCAACACCTTCCACCTCTAATGATCAAAACAGTGGGTATTATGAAAAAAGGGGTCAGTTTTTTAGAAGTGTCACAGGGCGAAGAACGCCCCTTCATGAGACCCAGGCCCAAAAGACAGCACAATCGGAGAAATCGATATTAGATAGAAGCCTAGATGTTAACTTGTCACAATACACATTGACCCAGATAGAATTACAGGTATTAGGGAAGGGACTCTCATTCATTCCAGTATCGCGTTTTGACAAATTTAATTGGGTTAAGGATGTACATTTATTTGCTAGGAAATTGTTACTTTATAAGACACATGTCCAGAATAATGAGAAAAAAGCTAAAGCATTGGGCCTCGAACCTAGGGATTATCAGCTAACTGTAATGTTTGCTGAACTCCTGGATGAAAACGAGTCCAATGGTCAAGGTCCACAGACTGATTTAAGTAAAAAGAGTGAATATTGCCCAAGGTTGGGCGACTTGAAATATGTAGAGATGTTTGTGGAATTGGTGTCTAAGGAAATAGAAAATATATCCATCTCACAGTTAACCCCTAAACCAAACTCCAATTTATCTTGGAGGGAAATTAAGGATCTGAAGGGTCTACAAGAAAGGGAGGAGATAACAGTTAAACCCTCCGATAAAGGGGGGAACATTGTAATCTTGGACACCACACACTATGTAGAAATCACAAAAATAATTCTTACAGACACTTCTACTTATAAGATCCTTAAATCTGACCCGACAAGAACATTCTTGGAAAAATTAAAACATATCCTACAATCTGGGCTGAGTGACAATCTAATATCTAAGAAAGAGCATGATTTTATGCTGAATAGTAACCCACGTATTGCCACTTTTTATAGTCTGCCGAAGATACACAAACAACATCATGTGTTATCTGGGAGACCAATTGTCTCTGGCAATAATAATTTAACACAAAATGTCAGTGTGTATCTTGACTATGTTTTGAGACCATTAGTAATTTGACTCTCCTTCTATCTCAGGGATACAAAACAAACCTTATCCCATTTGGCTTCGTTGACCATACCAGATAACTCCATGATATGCAGCCTCGATGTGGAGGCATTGTAGAGCTCGATTCCACATCAACTAGGATTCAAAAATACGAAATATTTCCTATTACAAAGGGGGCCACATTTCAACAGACATAGTGAATTCACTATTAAACTTCTCCACTTTGTACTTACCCACAACTACTTTATGTTTGATGGAACATACTATCACCAGGTGCAGGGAACTGTTATGGGGACGTCTTGTGCGCCCTCATATGCTAACCTGCACCTGGGTTGGTGGGAAGAAAAAGTGATTTTTGCTGATCCCCACAATAGGTTTACTAAATGTACCTACTCTTGGAAGAGATACATAGATGATATCATGATCATCTGGTCTGGTAGTCATGATGATTTTCATCTTTTTGTGCAATCTCTCAATCAGAATGATTTAAACCTGAGATTTACCACAGAAGTGGGGAAACCTGCCCTTAATTTTTTGGATCTGAGTTTGACTCCTGGTGACAAGGGTATTATTAAAACGGATCTGTATAGAAAGAGCACAGGTACCAATAGCCTCCTTAACTGGAAGAGCCACCATCCAGTCCAGCAAAGAAGAGGCATACCTACTGGGCAGTATCTGCGCTTAGGCAAAA